AAACAAGAACAGTACCAAAGGATGGCATTTTCAAGGATCACTATCAATGAATGGAACGTACTTCCAACTCAAGCCTGAGGTTAACAAGTGACAAATACGCTCAAATACTTGGGGGGGGGGGTATAGTGTGTGTGTGTGTGTGTGTATGCGTGTGTGTGTATGTGTGTATGCGTGTGTGTGTGTGTATATATATATATATATAAAAATAAGTTTTTAAAAAAACAACTTTTTTTCCAAATTAGGACAGTTTCATCAAGTATGACAAAAACCCAACTATATTTTTCCACTTCATTTCTCCCCCAAGATTATTAACAAAGAAGTATTCAATCAATAGGAGGGACGGTCCCAAAACAACCAGATTATTACACAGCAAAACCAAAGATGATAGCACAGTCTAGGCTTCAAACATGTGAACTTGAGCCATCCCCCCAAACCAGATTATATACATCCTTAATATCATTGTTAATTTACGGGAATGTAATTCTGGAAAAATATGCGCCTGATGTGTCACAATGATAGTGCACTAACAGCCTTATTTTGCCATACCGTTTTTTTTTTTTTTTTTGAGGAACTGTTTCCAAGGCCCATTCTCAGACATGGTTCTACTTTTGGCTTCATTTTTCTCAATACTGATGCTGCCCCATTGGTTTCACAGGCTTATAAATGTTAAACATCAAAAATTAGTTTTACTTATTATGGTTGGAAAAGGCTTTAAGAACTCTGGGATCTATGCCTCTGAGCAAAGTCTTTATCAGCAGGTCCCAGTCACTGCTTCTTGAAAAAAGAAAATGATACTGATTAAAAACCAATATACCTGATTTCCAAAAGGACACCTACCACGCACATAATACATTTAATTCATAAAGGGTTTCGGCTCCAAACTCACAATTACTTACTTCTCAAAATCCCATCTCTCATATCCAGGGTGATTGGCACCAAGGGGATAAATATGAAAAATTAAATTTCAAACTAAACTATTTATTGAAGAATTCCATCTTGATTACTTTAAGTTATTCTTCATGGGTGCTTAATTAACATGGCATCAGTATCTTTCCAATGTCTGTGCCTGAACAGCAAACACTTTCCAGATGTTTTTCCTTCATACAAGGAAAAAAAATAGGGCCCAAATTATTGTTTTTTCTTTTAATCAGAATTCTTTAACCCCACACTAAATAAGTTTAATTTATTTTACTAGAACAAAGCATTACATTTGTATGGAAGTAAAAAGAACACTTTAGAAAAATGTTTACTATCCTTACAAGTGCTGAAAATATCATGTATTTCAAAGCAATCTTATTTGTCATAAAGTGTGACAGGAAATAACTTCTAAAATGAAAACTATCTAGTCAATATTATGCAATTCCCATTTCTAAAATAACAGTATGACAAAACAAAACACAAAAGTGGAAACCTAATACCCTCAAAGGAAGCACACATTTCTGAGGCCTCTGAGGCACTAGTTCTGTACATTCTGACAGGCAGCTTCAAAGGCAGAGAAAGGAAAGCTCACAAGCGAACAGTGGTGAGGCAGACAAGGTGGGAGTTAACAGGCAACCGCGGGTGGACACAAGGCCACTGGTGACCCCAGCCCCTCCCAGTGCATCATTCAGGAAAACTATATCCAATTCTCAACTGTCCAGGTGTACTGAGAGACTAAATGTGAATACATAAAAGATTCTATAATCCAATATCTCATTTAAGCCAAATTTTACATTGGTTTGCCAGGTGAAGATGAAAAGTACAATCAAATAATATTTTAAAGATCTAAAGTCATTTGGTAGCCACCATAATAATAATTGTCCCAAGCAGGAAAAGAATCAGCAATAGATGCTAAAACTAGTGAGTAAAGTATAATAAAAAACAGAATATTTACAGTCTCAAATTATCTCCCATCTCTGTAAGAGATACTTATTAACTACAAAAGGAAAAACACTAACGTTATAGAGGAGAAACCTAGAGACACCACCCTAACTAAATAATCAAAGTAACATCATCGATAAATGAGAGAGATAACATGTTCCCCCTGATATCTTGCATGGAGAAGGACAGAGCACCACTTGTGATATTCCTGCCAAGGATGCATAACCTGAATCTAATCATGAGGAAACATCAGACAACCCAAAACTGATGGACATCTTACAAAATAACTGGTCTCTACTCTTCAAAGTACTGAGGTCCTGAGAAGCACAGAGGGACTGAGGAACTCTTCTAGATTAAAGAAGACTAAAGAGACATGACAACAAAACACAACATCCTAGACCAGGAAAAAGAAAATTTTCTTTTGCTATAAAAGAAATTAGTGAGACATTTAGCAACTCTAAACAAGGTATATAAATTAGAAAGAATGTTAAAGCAAATGTTAGTTAACATTTCGAGTATCTAGGTAAAGAATATAAATAGGAAATCTTTTTACAAATCTTGCAACTTTCTGAAAGTCTGAAATGATTTCAAAATAAAAGATTTTTTAAAAAATCAAATGTGTTCAACTCATAAAATTCAGCATTACTAACTTACCCTAAAAAAGAACACAGAACCTGCAGTAAAGTAAATCCTTCTCTCTGAATTCCCCTTGCCTCAGGAGGGGGTGCTAATAAACACAGACAAAAAAAAAACAGCCACCCATCCACGGCTCACGAGAAGCCCACATTTTAATGCTGTGGACTAGGTTCTGCGTTACTCTTCCTTCCTTTTAGCAAAGCAAAGATCTGAGGAAACTTACTGACCTGGGGCCTCTTGGTGAGTCACAGTCACCTTGTTATTTGGAAGACATCACAAAATATACAACTCTTGGGTCTTCCAAAAGGAAGACTGGACAAGCAATGACAATGGGACACCAGTCTGTTGAGTCCTATGATCCTTGAGAGAGCAGTCAAGATACAGAAGTCCATAGTGTGTCCCAAGACAATCAGGCAGCCATACCCTAAGGCCCTGCTGGTTTTTATTACATGTCTATCTTTAGCGTTACTGGAACCATCTAGTCAACTCAGAGACCAGCCCCGTGCTGGCCGTACAGGCATCTGCTGGAGAGCACACAGTAACAAATACTCAGAATTTTAAAGAGATTCAAGAGACATGTGCTCCAACATGTGGCACAATATGTATTTAAGTACCAGCTCTCTAAAGTTTCTCTCCTGACGCAAATGAGGTCGATATTCAGAGCACGCTGCCAAAAGCTTCCACACTCCCTATTTAAGTGTGACCCAGACCAATGACTGGTGTTGCTGCCTTATGTGCCTTTTATCCTTATCCACTGAAAGCACACTTAGACTTGAGCTACTTCCTACTGTGCCTACCCTCCCCATCCTTCCAGCCACATCCACCCATTGGATCCCTCCCCACCATTCTCTTCACATTTCCTGGTCAACTTCCCAAAATCTGGCGATCAGATATACTCCTGGTATAATGTGCTATATTGTATATACTTGCAGGCTGGCCAAGAAACTTAATCACTAGTTGTAAAGGCACTTCTATTAAAAAGTAAGTTCCAAGTGTCAAAATAGTCCACGTACTAAGAAACAGTAGCACTATGTTTGTTGAACAGAATTTTAAAGACAATCTTTAGCACATAGCTGATTTGTAGGGATAAGGGCCCAGATATCCATCAAACTGTATCAAACTGAAGAAACCACCATAATAATCAACAACTAACATTGACATGCTACTGAGTTTCTGGCACCATCCAAAACACTATCAAATTCATTTTATTAAAATGTAATACCTGTGTCTTTCTATGTGAAAATGCAGCAATAAAATGCTATTACAGTTGACCCTCCACATTCACAGGTTCTGCATGTGCGGACTCAACCAACCATGGATGGAAAGGCCTATGGTGCCTGCATCTGTACTGAACACGTACAGGCTTTTTTTCTTGTCATTATTCCCTAAACACTACAGTATAACAACTATTTACATATCATCTACATTGTAGAGGTATTATAAGTAATCTAGAGATGATTTAAAGTATATGGGAGGATATGGATAGGTTAAATACAAATACTACGCCATTTTATATAAGAGACTTGAGCATCTGTGGAGTTTCGTACCTGCAGGGGGTCCTGGAACCAATCCCCTATGGATACTGAGGACCATCATATATTCAATGAAGGCTATAATCAATGAAATACAGCTACTTTAAAGACGAAATCGAGCAAATGTCAAACTGAAAGCACAAGCAGTATCATAAGATAGGAAGGGAAGAATGAATCTTACAGGAAAAAGGCAAACAAAATTTTAAATGTTACTTTAGTTTTTGAAAAGGCCACATAACTGCCATTTATGCTGCTTCTTGCCTATGTCCCAAACTCAAGCTCATAGCTTTATAATTTCTTTTGGATTAACACTAATAAATACACATATATACATATACACAGAAGTACTTAATATGACAATTGATTTTAAAACGCTTAAGGGAAAAAAAACCCGATAATTTCTGAATTCCTAAGCCTCACTTCTGGACTTGTTTTTTCCCTACATAAATATATAAACCTCACAAGATACTTATGGCCAGCAGCCAAAAATAGAAAACAAAGAGCCACCAATGGTAGATGTTTTAACATCTGAAAATGTAAGAGTGGAACAGTATTTCCATCGAAGAATGTACTGAAACAGTCACTTCATCACTAGTCTCAGGTTAGATAAAATGTTCACCTGCAGGTGAGTAAGCAAGAAGAGTGCATGTGGCCAACAGTTTACACAGATGACTGATGACGTCCTCTGTGTAATCTAATATCGTGGAGCAGGTATAGTTCAAGAATGAGGTGAAGGTGATAGGGATACACTAAAAATGAAAGCTACAGTGGAGCTTTTTTCCTAGAAAGAACAAAAGAAGAAATACAAAACACCACCAAACATATGCCAATATGAGCTCTTTATGTGTGACTTTGCCTAGTGACAAAAGAGATCAAATATCTGAATACTGAACTTACTCATGATTATAAAAAGAATGTACATTCATTTGAGAAAATGTGGAAATGAGAAAATGTGTCATCAGTGTGACTCACCTCTCGAGTAGCCAGCTGGTTGCTGAGTTCCTCCGCCTTCTCAATGTTCCACTCTTCCACAGCCTGGTCTATGCTCTTTTCAAGGCCCGACTAGAAAGAAAAGAAACGTTAACACTTAAAGGCAGGAAAGAAAGGCAAATATCTGCTAGCAAAGACTATGTCTCGGGACTACAGCAAACACGCTGCATACTTAGACCATTTAATGCTCACAGTGACCCCATATGGTGGTTGGTACCACTCCCATTTACTGACAAGGAGAAGGTGGCTCAGAGACCTTAAACGGCTTATCCAAGGACATACAACTTCCTGAACTAAGAAAAAGGAAATGCAAATCCAGATTTTTGTGACTCCAAGACCTATGCTTTCCCTTAATAACAGTAATAATGGTAATAACAGACACGATAGCGGCTTATTATGTGGTAGACCCTGGGCTTAGCACTATAAGAAAGCTCATTTAATCCTTATAACAACTCCATGAAACAATACTGTTATCCTGTTTTGAAGATAAGGAAACAGAGGGTTAGCCTCACTAACTTGGCCCAGGTCACAGTCTGTAAGTGGCGAGTACATCACAGGAATCTAGGTTTACGCAGAGCCTGTATTCTCAACCACCATTCTCCTCTGCCTCTTTTCTCTACTGCCCATTCTAGCAGCTTGAGACCTTCATTCAACAGCCCCTCCTAGTCTTTGACTGTGGGTATTACTTGGATATTAAACATGGGAGGAAAGATATATATAAGAATGATTTTATTTTCCTATGGAAATGTTTTCATTTCCTACTGAAGATACTTCAGGAAATCATAATTAAAATTTTCGTAGGTTTACCGAACAGACTTAGTAGGATTCATCACACATTTATGGAAAGATGCTTAGACTTAAATAATTGAGTCTAATTATTGTGGAATAGTTTGTGGAAATAGTTACTACAGAAAATATAAATTGTAAAAAATGGTCTTACAAGAAAATTTTATCCTAACAATGGCTTATCTAGTGTATCCTTTAATTTCCACATTTTCAGTTAACCAACTTCTCCCTCCTTATCTAATAAAAGAAGTCCTGGGAATGTCTCTTCCATCAGTGTACTGCTTGATTATACCAGTCAACTAAGAGAAATTTTGTTTCCAGGCAGCCTTTGTTGAAACAAGACTTAAAAAATACCCACACATAATTTGCCTAAAAAGATTACGGAAACAAAGACCAGTGAGGTTGTCACTGATGTCCACATTAAGTGAAGATTTTTCCTTCTCACAATGCCTCACCCCACCTAAGGACCTGAGAGGACAATAAGTTTCTTTTCCTTGTTCCCAATGGAAGCTTGAAACTTTCATTCAGTTGTCCCTTGGTCTCTGACCCTAGGCCATGTGACTACTGTCCTTTTTCCATTCTGATCCTGTCTCTAGAAATTTCCCTTTCTTGTATTTCTGTAGAACTCTTCTGATGATCCCAACAATATCCTAGACTCACTTTTCCAATATCCATCATCTTCAGGAACCTCTAACTCCACTCCACCTCAGTGGTGTATACTCTAGGCCAGTGTCATTCTATGTGTGGTCTGTGTACCAGTCTGGTCTGTGAAGAGTGCCAGTCCATGAATGGAGCTTGTGCCAGAATGCAAATCAACTACGTTACCATACATAGTTTTGTCTAACTGGCTTTTGGGGGTGGTGGTAAGGGAGGAGGACAAGATTTTCTCAGATATGGAAGTAGGACACTGAGTTACATTCAGGCACAGGCTCCTTAACTCTTGGAAGACCAATCCTGTGAATACGCTTGCTCTAGGCCATGTAATAGACATCACCTGAAAGCTCCAGTTGCAAAATTTTACAATCTGGAGTTCTCTCTGAACACAAGATTCTGTGCTTCCACTTATTCCAAGTCTTCACAGTCAGTGAACCTGCCTTGGCCTCAGTTGGAACTCTATACCCCGGCACTACCATATTTATTCTCACAGTCCTTCAGTCCCTTCTTGGATTTTCTTATCCACTCTCTCTGGCCTGCAACCCATGATCAACCTTTTCAAACTAGACTCTAAGCAGGATTTCTAAAAGTCTGAGTCTGGACTACAAGCATCAGCATTACCTGGGAACTTGTTAGAAATGCAAATTCTCTGAATCAGAAACTGTGGGACGGGGCGCAGCAATCCATTGACTCTAACCATGCTGAAATTTGAGAACCACTGACCTAAGCAGGCCCTTCAATGTCCTCCATCTTACCTTGTTTTGGCTACTCCCAACCATTGTTTCTACTGTGTCCTTTAGCATCCAGGTGTCCCAGCAATGTTAGAGATAAACAAATAACGCAATTCACTGGCTTCACTAAAAGCTGTTTTTTAAACTCAGCTGAGTGGGCTCTCAATTCTGCCCTTGAAAGTTCTCACGTTCCTCTAAGAAGTTGTTACATGTCTTTCCCATTTTTCCAAATACCCTCCACCCTAGCTGCTTCTCTTTCAGTAGATTATAACTTTACTCCCTACTTTATGGGAGGGAAGAAAAGAACCAAGGATATATATGTCCTTTCTACAATCTTCCTCTCATCTACCTCAAAAGGTGTTATCTTCATTTACTCTGTTCCTCCATCCTTATTGCCTCCAAGAAGGAACCAACTCCCTTCACAAAACTAATCCCACCACCTGTGCTCATCATAACCCCATATGCTTACAGATTATCCAGAACCTTCCTGTTTAAATTTTCTCCTCTCTCTTTCCTTCATCTTTTACCCTACAAACAAGTTTGCCCTCCCCATTCTGCACCAGGGGCTAGATGAGTTAAAACAGCCTGCTTTCCTCAAACTGATTTCTTATGTTGGTACCACATCTCTCTTGTATAACAGTGTATCAGTTGCCTCCATGTCCTTTCTCATTCAATCCTCTATCCCGTTTGTCTTCATCATTCTTCTGAAGCTGCTCCCCCTACAGCCATAAGTGACACCATTTGTCCTCCTGCTTGATCTTCTATTATATTAACTACATCCTCATTCTTGAAACTATCTCCCCAAATATCTATCTTAAATCTCCTTTGATACCCCTTATCGCCTCTTGTTGGCCCTTCATTATAGCAGTCCTCAAGGTTCTGTGACTGGCCCCCTTTTCTTCTTATTCTCGCTCTCCCCAGTAATATACTCAGTCCCAGGGCTTCAATTACTTCTTACAAGCTCCTTTATCTCCAAATAATTCAAAACATCTGACCTCCCCCCGTATCAAAATCTACATTCCAGCTACTTGCTAGTTATCCTCCTATTAAAGGCCTTGCAAAGAGAGGGTCTTCAATTTTTTATGATGCCTACAAACAAGCTCATCACTTCCTGCCCCACTTCTCCTTTGGAGCTGAGCACCCACTTAGTCACCCCAATGGAATTCTCAGGTATCTTCAATGCCTCCAATCCTTTGCTCTTATTTTAACTCTATTTGGTAGAGTCTCTCATCTCTCCCTTCTGTGCTTCTTCAGGGCCTCATCATCTCTTGTTTGGAAGATTACAACCATCTCTAAACTGGTCTTCTATCTTTCCAAAGCAGATACCAAGTCACTACCCAGCTTAAAACACTATCACTTCTTCACTCCTTTTGAATAGCATTCCAAATCTCTTCACAATAGGGTCCCAAAACGCTTTCTCAGCCCCATCTTGGGCAATGCTGTACTTCCTAATCTCTAGCCAAATTTACTATTCTCTTAATGTTCCCTGTGCCTCTGATGTGTTTCCATTTGAAAACTCTTAATCATCCTTGTAAGTCTCATGTCAAATGTGACCTTCTCTATCTCTGCAGGCTCCCTCATCCCTATAAACCCACTGACCCTGCCACACCCGTTCCCATGCCCAGTACCTAACTGCTCCGCACTCTGCGCTGTCGCTGCACTCCACGCCTCTCTTCAGCACTTGCTGGTCTGACACACTACAGTGAGTTGTGTGTCTCCCCTCCTGGGTTCCATGCTCACAAAGGGCAGACACGTGTGTTACTAGCTTGGTGGGTCCCAGCATCTAGCCCAGTTCCTTTCACATAGGAGGCACTCAGTCAGCTCTGTGACTGAGTTAACAGTCACAGTTCAGTAATCCACGGCTGCACTGACTGAACAGGACCGAAAGCACTGAAAGGAGCCTACTCAAACAGGGAACATTTATTACATATCCACCGCTTTCAGAAGTTCCCAAGAGAATTCCACAACAGTAATACCGGGGTAATAATACCCCTATGGTTAAAAAATGGTCACATTTTACTGCACTTATTTATATACAAATTGCTCCTACTACTAGGATATACATTCCTTGAGGGCATGAAGTGTATCTTCTCCATCTTGGCTCCCAGAGCTTAGCAGAGTACCTACACCTGGAACTTTGTATTTATATTTTTTTACAGTAGAAATAAAGTATTCTATTTAAGAAATGCTAATACAATGGCCTCTCCTTCCTGCATAGCTCCTTCAGAAGTTTTTTAAAAATTTCAATAAAGTTTCACTAGATTTAACTGCTTCTTTTTTTCTCCCTTTTCTTTTAGCAATTTATTAAGTAAAATACAATAGTTCCTTTTGGCTCTGAAAAACTTCTGGTTCCATATGCACACCCAAACTTTCTGCTTCTAAAAGAAGATATTAACATTCCAAATACATTCAAAATGCTTACATTAGTAAAAAACATCCTTAGGTAAAACATTTTCATCACCTTAAGACCCTAAGTTAGTAACAGTTTACAAAGAGCATGGCTGGTAAGGTCAGACCTGGGTTCAAATTCCAGCTCCTCTACTACCCAAGGGTTACTAGCCAAGCAACCCTGAGTGAGTGCCTAAACCTCTACAGGTTGCAGTTATCTCACCTGTAAAACGAAAATACCACTTTCTTTGCAAGGTTATGGTAAGGGTCAAAGAAAACATATGTAAAATACCCAGCAAAGTTTTTAGAATATAGTTGTCATTCAATAAATAAGTTGTTCACATTATTATATCTAAATACCAGGATACCATTAAAACAAAGAGAAGGTTAAGCTCTGTATGGCTACAGACCTCATCATAGTTTGTTGAGGGCTCAGATCCAAGCATAAGACCCAAGAATTCAACTTTGAGTCAGTAAGTAGTGTCATGAAATAAGATTTGAGTATTAAGGCTT